GGAGGGAGAGGGATGAGGAGAGGAGAGAGAGAGAGAGAGAGAGAGAGAGAGAGAGAGAGAGAGAGAGAGAGAGAGAGAGAGAGAGAGAGAGAGAGAGAGAGAGAGAGAGAGAGTGTGTGTGTGTGGTGTGTGTGGTGTGTGTGTGTGTGTGTGTGTGTGTGTGTGTTGTGTGAGCGTGTGTGTTTGTGAGTTGAGTATGAGTGTGAGTATGAGTATGAGTATGAGTGTGAGAGTGTGAGTGAGAGTGGAGTGCGTGAGAGAGAGAGAGGAGAGGAGAGAGTGGCGCGCGCGCGTGAATGATTGTGGATGTGGGTGGGCGTATGTAAGTTTTGAATGCCTACTTTAGTACGTGAATGAATATAAGCGTGGAGTTCCGTGCGTAAATGAGCGTGCATGCGTGTTTTGCATACATATAAAATGTAAATGTAAATCGGAATTACTAAGAATCTCCAGCATACACTTTATTAAAACGGCCACGAAAGGTAAACGAGTTTGCAGAGTAACAAAAAAGTCTTCCATGTCTTCCCTTCCTGTCTTCCGTTTGCCCCCTCTCCCCCGGCTCTTGCTCAACCCCTCCTCCTCATTTGCCCTCGCACTCCTCTTCCTCCTCCACCTCCGTTCATCTGCCTCTCTTCCCCTCTTCTTCAAAGTCTCTTTCATTCTCTTCATCTAACCGCCTCTCTGTCTCTTCCCTGCTTCTGCCCCCTCCCTCTCTGTCTCTGTCTGTCTCTCTCATCACTCTTCTTTTCTGTCCATCTTTCGACCCTTTCTTCCCTGTTAGTCATTATCTCTTTCTTCACTTTCTTTCCTTATTTCCTTCTTCTCTCTCTCTCTCTCTCTCTCTCTCTCTCTCTCTCTCTCTCTCTCTCTCTCTCTCTCTCTCTCTCTCTCTCTCTCTCTCTCTCTCTCTCTCTCTCTTCTCTCTCTCTCTCTCTCTCTCTTTCTTTCTCTCTCTCTCTCTCTCTCTCTCTCTCTCTCTCTCTCTCTCTCTCTCTCTCTCTCTCGTCTCTCTCTCTCTCCCTCACGTTTCCTCCAAGCCTGTCTCCCACCTTCCCTCTCTTCCTCTCTGAACCTCTTTCTCTTCAGTTTTACTTCATTACCTCTCATCCTTCACTCCCTCTTTCCCTCTCTCCTTCACTCCCTCTTCCCTCTCTCTCTCTCTCTCGTTTCCTCCAAGTCTGTCTCCCACCTTTCCCTCTCTTCTGACCTCTTTCCTCTCAGTTTTACTTCCACTACTCTCTCCTTCACTCCCTTTTCCTTCTCCTTCACTCCTCTCTCTCTCCTCTCTCTTCACTCACTCCTCTCTCCTCTCTCTTCTCTCTCTCTCTCTCTCTCTCTTCTTCTCTCGTCTCTCTCTCTCTCTCTCTCTCTCTCTCTCTTCTCTCTCTCCTCACTCCCTCTCTCCCTCTCTCTCTCTCTCTCTCTCCTCTCCTTCACTCCCCTCTCTCTCTCTCTCTCTCTCTCTCTTCACTCCCTCTCTCTCTCCCTCCTTGTCTCTCTCTCTCTCTCCTACTCCTCACTCCTCATCTCTCCTCTCTCTTCTCTCTTCTCTCTCTCTTTCTCCTTCCTCCTCTCTCTCTCTCTCTCTCTCTCTCTCTCCTTCACTCCTCTTCTCTCTCCTTCACTCCTCTCTTCTCCTCTCTCTCCTCTCTCTCCTCTCTCTTCACTCCCTCTCCTCTTCTCTCTCTTCCTCCTCTCTCCTCTGTCTCCTCCCCTCTCTTCTCATCCTCCTCTCTCTCTCATCTCGTCTCTCGCAATCTTATCTCTCTCTCTCTCTCTCTTCTCTCCTCTCCTTCACTCCCTCTCTCCTCTCATCCTCTCATCTCTCTCTCTCGTCCTCACTCCGTCTCTCTCTCTCTCTTCACTCTCCGGATCTCCGCTCCTGAACAGCCCTTTTTCACCTCGCCTCGGTCTCTCTCTCTCTCTCTCATCTACTCGCTCCTCTCATCTCGCCTCTGCATCTCTCCCTCTCTCTCCTTTCATCCTCTCTCTTCTTCTCCTCTCCATCCGGTCACGTCTCCTCCCTTCTCGTCTTCCCGTCGCTCTTCCTCATCCTCTCACTTCCACAACGGGTCCCACTCTCTTCTCTCCTCCTTCAAACCTCCCCCCTCTCTCTCTCTCCTTCACTCCCTCTCTCTCTCCTTCACTCCCTCCCCCCTCTCTCTCTCCTCGCTCCTTCACTCCCTCTCTCCTCTCCTCACCCCCTCTCTCTCTCCTTCCACTCGTACCTCTCTCTCTCTCCTTCACTCCCTCTCTCTCTCTCCTTCACTCCCTCTCTTCTCTATCCTTCACTCCCTCTTTCTCGGTCTCCCTATCACTCCCTCTCTCTCTCTCACTTTCACTCCCTCTCTCTCTCCCTTCACTCCTCTCTCTCTCTCCTTCACTCCCTCTCTCCCTCCCTTCACTATCCTCTCCTCGCCTTCTCCTTCACTCCCTCTCCTCTCTCCTTCACGTCCATTCCTCTCTCGTCCTCCTTTCACTCCCTCTCTCTCTCTCCTTC